AAATTGAAATCGATTTTAGAATACCCTTCTAATATATTTGCAGATCATTTCCATATCGCGGAATACTCCTGACTGTAATTATAAAATAAGACCAACGATCAGGACTCATTAATAGCAAGAACAATGTGAAATAAAATCAAAACAATCAGCCATACATTTATTAATGAATGCAGCACAAAAGTAAAAGCCACTACGTATAAACTTTAATTAAATGGTTTATTTTATTTAATGTTCAACTTTCGTTTCAGACTCGGCATCATACATATGAGTTTCAGGATATTTTTGAAATCCTGTGATGCCGCAAATCATTCATTTCGATATGTAGCACATTTTTAAACCTTATCGGGTATTTACTAGGTATTTAATGCTTATATTAAAAAATATGCTAATCATATCCTTAATCCATCAGGCATGCTCTTACTATATCGATATATCATAATTCAGATTAAATACGTACGATAATGTAGAAAATGTAATTAAGTGAAATTGTTTACTAATATATCTGACTTCTGATTTCTTGGGATCGAACGAGAATTTTCTAATTATAACACTTTAGCGAAATTTTAGTTTAGACTTTTAAGTATAGTATGTGGTATATTTCAACCAGAATTATAACTAAATTTATATCGCAATAAAAAATATTTGTCGTCTAGGAACGGGCAGTGTCTGAAATTGGGTTGCAGAGCTTGTGGACCGCAAATGATTTATAAGTTTCCGCAACTAAAATCTGAAATGTATATGCTGGTTCCGCAAATAAATTTTGTGAATTTGCATATAGATATCATATGCGCAACTAAATCCATATAATCCGCAAGTAAAGATTTTTATTTAATTGCGGCCCGCAACTAAATTAAAAATTGAATTTTGGACACTGGGAACGGTTAATCGCAACATATTTATCGATGAATTCTTCGCTGAATTCTTCGCCTTTACTGTTTTTTTTTTTCCTCTAGAATGGTGAGAATAGATAGTAGCCGGATTTTTTATTTATCGATAACATTTGATTTGGTTTTAATAGTTATTCGCGAGGTTTCATCATTTTGCATTTGTACAACCTTAATTATTTTTTTAATATAATTATTTATAAACCTTACATCTGCAATAAGTGAGGCCGTTGTCGTATAGTGGCAGTACATCGCGTTGTGGCCGCGCTAGCCCAGGTTCGATTCCTGGCAACGGCAGAAACTTGATATAAATTCAAAATTTATATCGCAGTTTTTTTCTCTTTTTTTATACGCACAACATATATATACAGTACTGTATATTTTTTTATAATATATATTATATATTTTATATATATATATTATATATATCGATATATATATACTGTATAAATATTTATTTAATCGTTATTTTATTTATTTTTTTTTTATTTATCCATTAACCAGGATTTCGATGAGTCGAACTAATCAGTGTATTTACTGCTGCTTATAATAAAATCCTCGCCAAGGTAATTTATAAATAAAATTGTAAAAATAATCTGCAATTCTAACCGATATAATTGTTGGAATTTAAGCGGATTTGGAATTCCTAGTTAAATTAGGGTTAGGGCGTATATGTAAGTGGAAACGGAATTTAAGTGGATTTGTATATAAAACCCCCGTTTTTGGGGTCGATTTTGTCATATAAGCACCCTAACCCTAACCCTAATTTAACTAGGAAATTCTAGATTCCATTCTCACTTAAAACATATGTATGATAAAATCAACCCAAAACAGGAGTTTTATATATATAAATTCCGAATCCACTTAAATTCTGTTTCCACTTACAACATAATCACTATGTAAGGTCTCTTATTGTAATTTATAAAATAAACCTTTATTTCGAAGGTATTTGACGAATTGTGATAAAATATATCTTGCGATCCGGTGATCAAAATTATATCATTCGATTCTTCTTAATGCTAGTTTGAACTCGAAAAAAATTAGTCTGCTCTAAGTCTTAAGACTGGACCAGTCTGGACTGGTCTGGACTAACAAAGTCTTAAGAATAGAAACCATAATAGACCAGACCAGACCTGGACCAAAATAGACCAGACTGGTTCAGACTGGACTGTTAACATCCCTACTAAAATTGTTCGAATTCGACCACTGAACCTTGAGATTTCATAATTTATATCCAATTCGTCACGTTACCCATTTTTGCCATTATACTGTTCAAAGTTAACTCGAAATCCAGTGATTGAGTTTTTATCATTAGATTCTTTGTAATGTCGAAGCATTCAAAGTTCGAATTGCTTGTATAATGTATAGTCCTGATTATTATTATCCAAAACCCGTGTTATAGTCGAATTGATTTCAAACTGTGTAGAAAAAATTTTCATGTTGATATAAAAATCTATTTGATTTGTTGTCGATACTTGAAATTTTATATGGTCGGTCATATTAATTAAGTCCTGGAACTGAGAAATTCACCGTGATCATTTACTGGTCGACACTCATGCAATAAATCGTTAACGAATCGGATTATATCAAATTAAATTTGCCAAGAGCATGTCATTGTACTAAGTTCCCGAAAATCACTTTCCCGAAACGTAATCCCGATAAAGTTAGTGGCATTAGTGATTTAGTTAGGAAATGGTTTCCGGAAAATAATACAGTAACTCAAGAAAGTAACGTTTCATTGGCTGTTAATTCTTTTAAATTGCAAAAAATTATATAATTAATAATTAACAGTAATGAAACGTTAAAGAAACCCTGTTCTACATTACTTGTCCTTGACAAATTTAGCCGATATAATAATCTGATTCGCATTATTTAAATAGGTTATTGTATGATAAAGGACTAAATCAACCAGTTATGTTAATGCCAGCTAACTTTATCGGTTTCTGGAAAATGATTTTCGAGAATCTGAGTTATATAGCATATATCTGATAGTAACATATGTTTATTTTAAAAAGTTAGAAAAATCATTGTATCAAAAAATCAAAAAATATATTTATTTATTTTAATTATTAGATGAAATATTAATTTTGAAAATTTTTCAAAATAATAAAGTTAACCAATTAAATACTTGTAAATTATTCTAGAAAATATTTGGATTATAATACAGATTTTGACAATGTTGCTATATTTGGTAAATACCAAACTAGGAAATTTACCCAAAGGCACCAAGATACAGATACACATATACATAATTTTGCATTTTTATTGGCTAACATACATTCGTTCCAATGGAAAAACCTTCCAGTGATACTTTTTCACTGGAACCACTAGAACATCTGGAATTGTGGAGTTCCAGCTTCCAGTCAACAACACTGTGTATCAAACTACCACCAACTTTGCTTGTTATTATATCCATTTGAAGTACCATAATTCCCACCACCATAACCACCGCCGTAATTTCCACCACCATAATAATAACTAATTAAATGCAAAAAAAGTCACTAGTGAAATCAATTAGTAATAAAACGATTAAAAGAAGAAAGATTACTTACTCATTACCAGCACTTCCATAACTGCCTCTTTCACTATTACTACCAAATTTACGATAATCACGATTTTGACCGCGGCCTCTACCACGACCACTAGAGCCACGAGAACCATAACTTGATGTCTCTCTTGCAATAGTTTCCAACCAGGGAGGAATTTCTTGGTTAGCCTCTTTTAACAGTTCAATCAATTCTCTAACAATCCCTTTATTACCACGGTTGAAGAATGCCGTTGATATTCCAACGTTACCAGCGCGTCCGGTACGACCAATTCGATGTACATAGTCATCAATATCTGTGGGTAGATCATAATTGATGACGTGAGTGACATTAACAATATCCAACCCACGGGCGGCCACAGCAGTCGCCACCATGATAGGTGTACGACCCGTACGAAAAGATTCTAAAGCACGTTCACGTTCACGCTGTGATCGATCACCATGAATTGATGTAGCAGGAAAACCTGATTGAACAAGAAATTCTGATAACATATCAGCCATGCGCTTCGTTTCAACAAAGATTAATGTAAGTCCATGATCAGATTCTGGTTGAGCATGTAGGATATCTAATAACACCGATCGTTTATCATCATCTTCAACATATTCAATCTTTTGGGTAATGTTTTCACTTGTACTACCGACACGGCCAACACTTAAGAAAACATAGTCCTTCAAAAAATCACGAGCCAGAACTTGAATGTCTCGAGGAAAAGTGGCGCTAAACATAAGCGTTTGTCGATCATTAACGTTAGGCATATCTACAGCAACAGAATTTAAATAATAAGTAAAAAATAGAATTTAAGAATTGATTTTAAAAAAATTTTCAGTAATCAAATAAAACCCATTACCTTCATTTTCCACTATACGACGAATCTGAGGTTCAAATCCCATATCTAACATACGGTCAGCTTCATCAAGAACTAAATATCGTATTTGGGATAAACTTACGCGGCCACGTTCAATTAAATCCACAAGCCGTCCAGGAGTGGCAGTCAAAAGATCACATCCACGGTCAATTTGTCTTAATTGGGAAGAAATGTCAGCGCCACCATAAACAACACACGGTCTTACCCAAGAACGATAGGCGAATTTTCGTGCTTCATCATAAATTTGCATAGCTAATTCACGTGTCGGCGCAAGGACCAATGCAACTGGATAAGCTTTGCGACTACGATACATGCCACGGGAACCAGATTGTTCTGGTGGACCATGTTTAAAAAGCTCCGACAAAATGGGGAATAAAAAACCACCAGTTTTACCAGAACCCGTTTGTGCGCAAGCCATAAGATCACGACCAGATGATACGATCGGTATTGAATATTTTTGAACTGGAGTAGGAACAGAATAACGAGCCATTTCAATATTAGAGAGGAGATGTTCATCTAAAGGAGGATTTGTGAACTATACAATATATAGACAAAATAAACAATCAATTGAATGATATATATATTAAATAAACAATAAAGTAATTAATTATTAATGCAATTTTTTTTTTCATAAATACTATATCGTGTACACATACATTCAAGACACATTCTGGAACATTATTTCCACTAGCTTCAACAGGGATATCATCATATTTTTCGAAATTGATACCAGTGTGTTGACGATCAGGATCATCAGGAGAGCCAAATAAATCACGTTCCATACGTTGATTTCTTTGAGAAACAACGTGAACACCATCACGCCAAGAACCATAACCATCAAACACATCTTCAGTAACAGGACCGCCACGACCACCATAACCAGAACCCGAAGTATATCGGTTGTTATTACGATGGCCAGAATTCCAGCGTTCACCTTGAGATGATGCACGATCACTCCATCCACCACGTTGAGACGTGGAATATGCCATTTCACTACGACTACCTCCTCCCCAAGCATCTGGACGAGGAAATGATGTACGACGACTATCCCAATTTACCGCGGGAGCCGCACTAATATTAATAAGAAAAAGTTAATTATTAAAGATCAAGTGGTTATTAAATATCTTTAATTATTATTGAATCGATAGCCTTTATAATGTCCATTTTTGAAATAGAATTTTTTTAGAGTTTTCAAAAGAATATATATACATTTAAAAAGGTACCAAGATAAAGACTATTATCTGAGAAATTTAAAAAATGCGGGCGATAAAAACTAATCTTTATAATTCAGATTAAAAAAAAATTAAAATAATAAAAGATCATAAACCTTTCGTTCCTTTGATGCCATCCATTTGGACGACGTGATTGGAGAGGTGGGACTAATTCATCAGACTCATTATTATAATCATTATTTCTTGGTGGTTGTAGTTGCTGATGTTGAGATGGGTTTTCGTTATTATTATTTCTGGTATGAGGTTGACCTCTCAAATGGGGAGGAACGTAACGACCAGCGGTAGGTTTCCCCGAACTTGGATTA